GAGTCGATCTGCGCTGGGCTAACTAGCTCCGGCTAACCCCCGCTAGCTGCCTAGCTCCGTCCTCCCCCCTGCGGGCCGACTCACCGATGTGATTGTCCTCGATGTGGACGATGAGCTCGGCGAGAGACTCGAACTGGAGCCCGCAGCCCCCGAACCTGCAGGAGTTGGAGAAAAAAGAAGCCGCAGCGATGCCCGTCATGATTTCAGCGCCTGTGCATGCACCGGGTGTTAGGGTAAGGGAGGGTTCAGGGGGGCCGGGGTGGTGAACCAAAGGAGGCTGGGGCTGAGACTTCGGGTCCGGGCTGGCAGAAGGAGAGAGGGGCAGCGCTGGGCTGAGCGGCGGGACAGATACGGTGCAGACAGACGGGACAGCGGCGGACGCAGCTGGTAGGAGGCGGGACGTGGGGGTGGGGATGGATGGATGGAGAGATAGATGGAAGGGGGGAGGTGGAAGAGGTGGAAACCAACGTCACAGACAGGCTACCTGTTGGTAGGCTGTAGATTTTAGACATATTTTTGACTCAAACCTGCATAAAATAAACGTTATTTACGTGCTGTGTTTTGTTTTTGTGAACAAGAATAAAAAACATTATTTTTGCATTCTGTTTTTCTTCTGCTAATTATATAAGATTGTGCAGCCACATATACATACATATATATATATACACACACACATATATATATATATATATATATATATATATAATGTGCAGAATAAATGTGTGTGCATCTTAATTAAGGCTAACAATTCCAGAAATGTAATTTTGGAAGCACACTGAAGGTTCCTTCAAGTCTTCTCAGTAAAATGCCGTTTGCTCAAAGAGTATAAATGGTATAAATGCCTTTAACTTTCTGCTTCAAACACAAGCAGCTTCTCTGTGGTCAAACCATTGTATTCCAACCCATTATTTTTCTCGACACTTCAAGTTAGTCTAGTAACTAATTCCTTGGCAGTTATTCAAGCATCTAAAGACAAATCCTCTCATTTCCTCAGTCTTTTGCAGCTTTTTGCTATTTACCTTAAACAGACCTTGTGGATCTATTTTTAAAGTTGAACTTCCATGACAGTTTGAACCATTGACGCCTTTTGTTTACTGTGAATATTCCACTGCTTGTTGGTAAGCACGAGTGACCACCAGAGAAAGGTGATCTACTGTGGTGACCCCCTGAAAAAAGCAGAAGAAAAACAACAAGACAAGAACATAAATTATTCATTATTTTATGAAATAACTGTTTTTCAAATAAGTTATGATAGAGTCCATACCTACTGTATGTACATGTCATCCATATGTTTTATTGATTATCATTATGGCTCAGTGGTGAGGGCCGGACTTTATGGAGCCAGCTTGTATCCCAGAGAGAGGAGAGAATGTCTCTAAATCACTGGGTGACCAGGGACGTCTGGCCTTTGTTGGACCTGTTAATTAAGCATTAAAAGGGTCCGTCATAAACCCTGGTGTTCAGACTTCAGCAAACAACCATAACACACTCTCTCCTGTTCTGTCTGCACACCACATAACACACACACACAAACACTCACTATATGACATCACCAGAATCTTTGGCCTCTCACACATGCAGCTACAGTGTAGGACTTGACTGACTTCATTGGCCTAGCACAGATGTTCTCTATTACACACGCACACACACACACACACACACTGACACGCATGCCTTGTATCACACCTGTAAAAGTGATGCAGTTCCCTATTGCGTAAATGAGTGCTAGCATGTGTTGCGAAATACTGAAGAGAATGTGTTAGACACAGAGACGGTTTATGGTGTGTGACATCATCTGATTCCAGATCTGTTGGTGGAGCACGCAGTTACAATATGGGGGTGAATCTGTATTGTGTGAAAATAAACACCCAAAGTGACAAGTTTAACAACAGATCCAGTTTAGACAATTTGACCGATTAAATATAAATGTAACCACAACAACCACTGGTACGTGTATTTAAATGCTTTACTACGAACCATCTTTATTTACATTTTGTATGGTGAACTTATTTTTTAAGTTAGAAAGTTTGTTCAATGTTTGACCAAAAACACTCCATTTTCAAAGACAATGTGACACCGAGCACTACAATGAGTCGCAGCTCTGCTATAGCTCCCACTCCGGCTGTTTAAGTCTATGTGAAGGTGAAGATGGCAGATGGTAATTGCTGGCAGTGTCACTGAGTTACGGAGCTTGTTGTAATCTCAGTGGCATTGTCTGCTCCAGGGCACCAGACAGAAACTTCCTGGTGGCTCAAACGTTTCAGAGAATTCTCTGCACACATACACACTTTATCTCTTTACGGTTGTTAAGACACACAGAGGCATGATACAAACTCAAGACTATCAAATAAAATTTTACCACGAGGGAGACTCTCTCCAGGTGCAGGAAGTTTTTCAAATTCCAAATAGCAAAAAGATACTGGAAATAGGAGTGAGAGAGGGTGGGAGAGAGCTATACAGACCATGAGCACCAGGTGATACGAGTGAGACTAATGACAAAGACACAGGTGGATGTGATGACACTTATCAACTACATACACTGGAGGAAAGGGAACGAACAGACCTGACATGCAGTGAATGACAATTTCACATTCAATCATGGTTTAATTTCAACTTATGACAGGAAGCCTTCATCACTATCTTATAAATACATAATTATGATATAATTGCTATCATTTGCATTTGAACAGTTTCTGTAGCATTTTAAAGTTTGTCACTGTAGCTTAAAGTCTAACAATGTCTCTCTGTATACACTCATGCTAAAAATTAAATTAGGTTACTTGAACCATTGACCTCATATTAGCAACAAGTATTATCACCGTGTGCTTTTTTTTCAGCATATGTTATTTTTTATATCGAGGCTTTTTTATACCCTTAAGGTCTTTAGGTCAACCTTATCTGAAAAATAAAACACTAACACAGTTGACATTTGTCAGTTCAATGTCCGAGGTGAAAAAATCTAGCTTCTTGAGCAAAAACGTTATTATTATTATTATTATTAATAGTATTATTATAGAGAAAATAAGACACCACTGCATGTTCATGCTTATAAAGCTACAAAACCTGGCGTTTTAACTGTTGTATCCAAACACTTAAAAAATATACACGTACACAAAAGTGTCCCTTATCCTCAATGAAAACAAAGCTCAGTGATTCACATTGATGCGAGGCTGGAGCTCAAAACACAGAGTGACATCATCACAACTTCCTGTTTCTCCCTGTTGCTACAGCAACCAATATTTGCATACCCCCGGCGATTGGTGGACGATGAGTCAGAGAGAAATGGCTCAGTCCCATGATGTTGGACCACAACAAACCCATATGCCCTCCGCTCAGCTCCAGGAAAGCCTGACCAAACATGGCAGAGGTATGACTCCATGTCTGAGCTCACTGGAGCTGTGAATGACCAAAGTCCCTCCTGGTGGTTCTGGCCGGCCAATGGGATTTCGTGACGTAAAATTACCTCACAGTAATTGAAATCAGTGTCATCTAACTGAAAACCATTCTAGCGTATAGAGCTGCTTACGCACTTCAAGTCTTTACTCAAAGTTTTAAAATGTGGTGGTGCTCCACCAGACATTTTCCCTGATCGTCAACATGTCACCATCATCATTACCCAGTGTCACATGTTTTTGATAAGGTATTTTAAACATGTGACATGCATACAGTTTATGTTTACGTGTATTTTAATCATTAGTTTATGACAACTTTATATTGTATTTAAGGGTTACATAAATACACGGTCCTAGTACAGTGAGTGGAGACTTTAGACTCTGGATTCAGTGGTGTTGTTTTGACTCTTTATTAACTTGAAATTTCTTATGGTGTTATTTGTTTACAGGATTCAAAATGTGTATTAGAGCAGAATATTTCATTACTTAATGTTTCCCGTACTGTTGCACAATTGCAATAACAGTACTTGTATAGTCATCGGAAATGACTATACTATAGAAATGACAAGGAGGCTACTGCATATGCTGTTGTCATTGTGTGGGGGGGGGGGGGGGGGTACAGACATGACAATGAAAATTATTATAAAATAAAAAATATGTATTTTTCATTTCGAAAACAGGAAAAGTTTCGTGCACAGGGCGTTTGAACGTCTTGACGCATTAACGGATCCGTCAGCGGGACGTCCTGTTCGCTCGAACAGAGCGAAAAAACAACTGTGACTGAGTGTCTTCCGCCTACCCGGTCTGCTCGGTGTCCCGTCACGTCGCCGCTGCGGGTTGTGTCTCGGTTTCTACCCTCGGTCCTGGTCCGCCGACCCAGCCGCGCTGTTCCGCCCTGTCCTGCCTCTGCCGGCCGGCGTCCTAACCCCGCCCCTCTCTCGTTCCCTCTCTCCCCGTACGGGACCGCAATGATTTAGAAGTTCAGGAATCCCACGTGACGTCACCGGGAGGATGATGTAATGCAACTGTAAATAGAACGTATTGTAATCTCGCACCAGTCCAACGTGGTTCCTCTGTGGAGCGCCGCTCGTACCGCTCTGCCGGTAGGTAAAGTCTCAGTTTTGACTAACTTCATTGACACAGATTGAACATTTCACTCCGACCAAAGCAACACCGCAGCAGGCTGATGCGACTGGATACTGCTGTAGTATTTTTTTGACGGAAAGTTAATAGACCGCGACAAGTTTTGTGGAGTTGAAGTGTCATCAGTTGCAGGAGGACGTTTGTGTGTGTTTGGGGGGAGTGCAGCAGCAGCAGCAGCATCACAGCCGTGCGTGCGTCTGTGTCTCTGTGTCCCTGTGAGTGTGTGGCTGAGCACCGGAGACTTGTTTGTGAGTGGGACAGTCACCGGCTGACTGCACCGGCGCATGTTGTTGGGACTGACGCAGGTTTCTCTGTACACAGCCATGTCAGCTGAAGGAGGTAAACTTTAAATCATTTCAGTTTATTTTGTTTTGTTTGAATGAGATTTTAGGTTGAGGCGAATGGGACCCAGACGCTTAGAGTCATTTCGTAAGTGAGTATAATATGATGTCATCCACAGTCATTGCTGCTCGTGCGTGTATGAGGCCGGAAACAAAGTTTTGACAAAGATTTAATCCATCGTATTTGTCTGCTCTGCTGTTGGATTAAATGCGTTACGGATGATGTCATTGTTCACTATGACAGAAGGCTTTGCTGAAAATCTGCTGAGTCTGCTGTTCTCTTACAGTAGCCACCGAAAACCTAGTTTCTTTATCTATCTATCTATCTATCTATCTATCTATCTATCTATCTATCTATCTATCTATCTATCTATCTATCTATCTATCGACATTTGTTGTGGATTAAATTAATATCTTTAGTCTCCTAATACTCACAGCGTGTCTGAACATCTAGTCTTTTTTTTAAGTGTACATGAGAATCCAGAAATAAATGTGTTGTCGGTGCTCATAAAGCACAAGGAAAATGTAAAGTCATCAAAATGCGTACAACTGGAAAATATAATAAAAGCAACGTTTCTTAATAAGTCCCCACTAAAAACTAAGATGAGATGTGTTTAAGGACCCCACTACTAACTCCTCAGACACCAAGTTTAGTCCATTACTGTGAGAACGTCACTCACGTTAAGTGTGAGGTTGGAGGTTAACCTAAACTGTAGCCAGACTTTTATACAGTATGTTAAGAACTGAGGAAATACTGAAAGTGGGTCATTTGGTCAGAGGAGACAAGATTGGATCGTTTTAGCCAATGAGAGGTTGGGGTTTTTTGTAAGGGAGAAACATTGGACCCAATGAACATTGTCCTCATAATATATTGCCTTTTAACACAGTGATTCTTCACCATTATCACTGACGTACCCTCACTGACGTGAAATTTCAGACAACACAGCCCAGACTAAAGCTTTTTAGATGGGAAAAAATGACACATTTAAAAACTATTCCTATAAATGAAACTTATTTTTTTTAATACTGTCGAAGTTTGGCCTGCTCTGGCAGGACTTCTGTCTGTCTTTTTATTGGCTTTGCAGCTATGCTTTACCCATGACTCCATTACAGAGTTATCAAGACTGAAGTGATTGACAGGTGGCAATGGACGATCTATCTATCTGTCTGTCTGTCTGTCTGTCTGTCTGTCTGTCTGTCTGTCTGTCTGTCTGTCTGTCTGTCTGTCTGTCTGTCTGTCTGTCTGTCTGTCTGTCTGTCTGTCTGTCTGTCTGTCTGTCTGTCTGTCTATCTGTCTGTCTGTCTATCTATCTATCTATCTATCTGTCTGTCGGTCGTTTCATCATGTCTGGATATTTAAATGTATGACTTCAGCTGAGTCTGTAACTCACCTAAACTTTAACTAATCTTTTTTCATCTATACTGTATAATACTGTTGTGAACTAATTCTGTTGTATAACACACAAACCAGGCTAGGCGCGCATTCATGCACGCAGGCAGGCACACTCACACACACACTCATATACAGACACGCACTGATGAAGTCATCTTGCCTAGGGTTGGAAAATGGGGGTTGAGGCAGGTTCAAACCTGTCAGGAGTAAAGGCCTAAAGTGCTGCCCTCCCTCTGTCACCTCCCACTCTCATTCCTTCTCTCCCTCTCTCTCTCTCTCACTCACTCATTTTCTTTCTGTCCCATCCGTTGTGTCACCCCTCCCCACCCCTCTGATGCTCTTTCTTTCCCTCTCTCATCGTCTATCTCTCTTTCTATCTCACTGCCACTTGCCCTTTCCATTCCCTTCCCCATCACCCAAATGCAACACACACACACATATGCACACACACACATATGTACGCACACTTTCCATTCCTTATGGAAGCATGTACTTTTGGCTACTCTTTCCACACTTCTTTCTTTAGCTTCTATTCTTCCACATAACACCATTGCCAACTTTCTTCTCATGCAAACTCAAAGTTTCAGAGCTTGTATGTACCTGCCAATATGTATCCAAAACAAATATGAAAAAAAAAAAAATCAAAACATCCTGTTATGATTGAAAACAAATCTCTTCTTTCTCATCCCTCCCTAAGTCAAGAAAATACAAATGTGTCTAGGGTCAACCCAAATGATCAAATACGCTCATCTTGTGACACACAGGAGTAAACTGGAGGTCAAAGAGTCAGTGGGTTTCTCCCTTTCTTCTCTACGGTGCACTTTAAATGAGTCATAACTGCCCCACATCACTGGTTTAGTACCTGTGCTGAAGACACGTTTGGGTCAAACCAGGGTTAGAGAACAGCAGGAAGGTCTAAAGTTGTGTTGATATTTTTATCCTGACAGGACTTTCATGTTCTGCATTGCATGTATGCATCATTTTATCACACCTGTATTATTCATCGGGTGAAGGTCAAATGGTTGGCTCATAGGATTGCACAACACTTACTACCTGGTTGAGAAAATAGGCAGAGGTTGTAGCAAAATGAAACTGGGAATTAGAATTGAAAAGCACATTAGAGAGGCCATTAAAGCCCCAGAAATGGTCCTGTCAGGGTCTGAGTGGAAAATTAGATTATTCTAGATTGAACTTCGTTGATATATCCATCAGGTCAACCTTGCTCTCAGTATGTTGAGCATGTGGCTTCAATAGAATAAAATAGTTACTTTACAGGGAAAAAAAAGTGTTTTTCCAAGTCAAGTCAAGGGGTACAATATAGATGACTGGAGAAAAGCTTAAAAAAACAGCTAAAAGATGAATGAAAACACCAAATTATAGTCAGCCATTTATTTAATCTGCCCTCGAATTCATCCAAAGTGCACCTTAAACCAATTCCCGGAGGCAAAAATAATGTTGTTGTAACTTTATTTTAGTTACACAAAAAAACACAAGTGCATCGAATGTATTATAGTTTGTCTTGATAAGAATGACTGCAATCAATGTTATCAGTCTTTCTCAGACTTTTACACTCCCACTGGCTCCAATGGGATCATTGTTGTGTCTCATGATAAAATAGTCCTCATCTCTGACATCTGCCTTGTAACACATTGCTTTCTCAGTGCTTCCTCTGCCAGATGCGATGAAAGGAGGATAAGTTTATCACATACGTTGTGTGGTACATTCAGCTGAGCTGTTTCCCTGGATCCTGTTTAAAATAGAAGGGAAAATTGGAAAACCCCAAGCCATTCCCTAAATGGAATTATTAGACATTAAATGCAACACAAACAGTGATATTGTGGGATAACTTTTTCTGTTTTTTCAGGTTTGTGGATGACATGAATGACAAACAGGACAGGCCTTATGTATGCGGCGCTCCTGGCTGCTCTCAGGTCAGTCAAGATGTACATAAAGTGTTTACCTGTCAGACTTGTATAAACAATGCCATTTTAATTATTGTGTTGAAATGTATGAAATTATTCTGGCTCTCAAAAAAATCCATCAGTCTTCACCAACTTTGTTCACTGTTCTCCAATGTTTTTGTCTGACTTTACTAAGTTTGTAAAATAAATGACCATGACTTTGACAAAACCTACTTTATATGGGAATATTAATGTTAAATGGAAAAATGCAAATGTTCAGAAATGTCCGTTATTATCAGAGCACAAAAAAATTAAAATGTACAAAACAATGTACAGCATATTTTTGGTTCATTTAGTTTTAAAATCAACTCTCACGCAGAGTGGAGAAATGAGAATAAAGTATCAAAAATCATTAAAAGTGTAATATTTAACAAAAGTTATTACTTTGATAATAATTCGTGATTTAATGTAATGGTACTTAAACTAGTGGTAAGATTTCTAAGTGAACAATCGCGGGTTTAAATATTGTCTCGTGCATTTTCAAACGTTGAACAAATAAGTTTTTATTTTATTTTCTGCAGAATGTCGCCGTCTAGTGGACACATATACCACAACCGACTTCATTCTACAAGTGTTTGTCAATCGTCATAGCAGATATAAAAGCACCACTCACGCTGTGCGGTAGCGAACTTAGCTTTAGCTCTATTTATACGGATATTAAACAGTAGCGAAATTATTAAACGTTGAGATTACCTTTTTCGGCTTTCTACTGTCGAAAGATATCTATTTTATTCATGCTCCACAAGGGTAGGGAAGCGAAGTGACACATTCTATGACAAGATTTTTATTAAGAAATGCGGTCGGCTGTTCGGTATTAGCTCCACCAACAACAAGTTCCGGCCCAAGGTTTGTCTGTACGTCAGGCTATTTAAGGGCGCAATTTGCATTTGATGTGCCATTGCACTTCAACGATTGGGTGTTTTTGAATTAAAATGCACATCAACGATTGGTTGCTGACAAATATGAAACGTACTTAAAGGACGTCATCGAAGACCCAACCGAGTCTGTGCTTTCTATCACGTCCGCTTATGTTTTACATTTGTCGTCTCGTCTCGCTCTCTGCTGTCCGACAAGTGCAATTGCACTCATCAACAACCAATCATTGAAGTGCAATGGCACATCAAATGCAAATTGCGCCCTTAAATGGCCTAACCTACAGACAAAAAGCTTTGGTTTAATGATTTTGCTATATTAAATAATAGCAAAGTCATTAAAGGTTAAGATATAAACGTTTGGGGAATTAGTATTACCATTATCATTATTTTATTTTTTTAATTCGGCTTTCTGCTATCGAAAGTTATCTATTTTATTTATGTTCCACAGGGGTAGGGTAGCGGAGTGACACATTTTGTCTGCTGACAAAAAGAAGCAATTGCAATTGATGTGCCATTGCACATCAACGATTGGTTGTTGGTGAATTCAAATGCACATTAACGATTGGATGTTGATTAATTCAAATGCACATCAACAACCAATCGTTGAAGTGCAATGGCACATCAAATGCAAATTGCGCCCTTAAATAGCCTGACCTACAGACAAACCTTTGGCCGGAACTTGTTGTTGGCGGAGCTAATACCGAACAACCGACTGCATTTCTTAATAAAAATCTTGTCATAGAATGTGTCACTACGCTACTCTGCCCTTTTGGAACATGAATAAAATAGATCTGTTTCGTTATTGTATATTTCGCTACTGTTTAACATCCGTGTAACTAAAGCTAAAGCTAAGTACGCTACCACACAGCATGAATGCTGCGTTCATCTCTGTCATGGCGATTGCTTAACACTTGTAGAGTGCGGTCGGTTGTGTTATATGTGGCCAGAGGACGGCGACATCCTGCAGGAAATGAAATTTAAAAAATAAAAACAAAATGGAGGAACAATGCTGGGCTTTGAATACATGGATGTTCTTTATGGACTACCACGCTGCCAAACAACAACCATAATAATAATATGATAACAATAATAATAATAGTAATGCTTTGGTGATGTTTTAATAAACATGTGAAATGTGAACAGTAACAGAGAAAGCAGATTGTCTAAGATACACATTTTTTTTTTTTAAATAAAAATTAGATTTCTTTTATTTAGAGTTACTGTGTATGTGCCTTCTAATTCTTCTCTTCTATTTATTCTTCTCAGAATGGCTGTTGATTTTTGAAACGTTCATACTTACCAATAATCAATGACTTATCTCAAGAGGGATTGATTCATTTAATTAAATCAAACAACAGCCACTGTTGTTTAATGATGTACAGATGCCTTGCTCATGTCACCACACCCTTTTTACAGAGCTTCCAGCTAGAGGAGCACCTGATAATCCACAGACACAAGCATGAGATGACCCTCAAATTCCCCTCCATCAAAACAGACTCCACTTTCACAGGTAGGCCCACGACAGTGTCGTCCCACATCAAACTGCTCTGCGTTTGTGTCTGTGGTTGTGGTTTCCCTGATCCTCCAGGGATTTTCGTATTTAATTAACAGCTTGTCTCATTATCTCCTCCTACAACCGCAAATAATCTCCTTTTTTTTTTCTCCCTTTTGCTCAGACAAACCATATGTCACTCTGGTGGTCTGTTGTGTGGCTGCATGTGTGAGTGTGTGTGTGTGTGTGTGTGAGGGAGGGGGGGGGTTGTGGTCCTTTAAGGCCAGGGTCAGTGGGAAAAAAATGACAGTGATTCTTTATGCAGAGTGAGATGAGATACCATCAGGACAAGCACTCTCCTCTGGTCGCTGCTGTCAGAGCCGCTTATGTTGCAACATGAAAAAACACCCGGTCAGATTAGATTCTATCACATTACACCAAACTAACTGGAAATGCATTGATAAAAGGCTGCTCTGATTTGAAATAAAAAGTTGGGAAGACTTTATCTAGAAGACAGGAAGAAAACACAGGAAATATCACACATTTTTTTATCCTTTTCTGATTAATCAGGACAGAAATCTTAAGAAGTGGTAGTCCTGCTAGAACAACTGGGTATCCCATAATTGGTAACATTACGGCTAAACCATCCTGACTGATATTTAATATTCAACATAATATTATGTTGAATATTAAATATCAGTCAGTAAGTTGTGTTTGTTAAAGCAACTTTTTTTTTAAAGGATGCTTTGTTGATAAAGTGTCGCGTTACTATTCCAGTATTTATGATCCTGAGTCTATGTATAAGCACAGGAACAGCTGAGTGTCTGGACATTAACATAAACATGACCTCTAATGTCTGCAGACAATGTCCACAGCCTGCCACCCCTCTGCAGGAAATCTGGTATAAAAAACAAAGAGCCCAGCCGACCTCTGACCCCTGCCTGTTTAGAAGACTAGCAGAGCCAGAATAATGTTTTTACAGACAGAGACAGAGACAGAGGCAGAGAGTGCAGTGGAAACAAAGCCTCAATTCTGTGTGTGATCGTTTAGGGAATAACTCAGCTGAAGCCACATCACAACAGTCTAAAAGCATTGACTTTCTTCTTTTGTGTGTGTGCATTTGTATGTCATACCTCCAGACCAGACACCAACTCCGACTCGCTTCCTGCAGAACTGTGAAGAGGTCGGTCTGTTCAAAGAGATAGAGGAGGAGTTCCTACAAGCTGAGGAGGAGGAGAAAAGCAAACAGGTAAATTAAAAAGCAAAATTCATAGTGAGTTATTGTTCCATCAACTATTTTCAGACACCTGTCTCTACACATACAGTTAAAAAAACATTTAGTTAATTGGCCTATAGGTTTGACACTATTTCACTTTTAACCAATTAAGGATTAGGTTTATTTTTATTTGTCGCTTCTTGTTCATGTTTACATAACAGTTTGATTTTTTTTTATTTTCTTTTGGTACAATTTTAATTTTACTTAATATGTAACTGGGTTAAACTAATTATTATTATTATTATTATTATTATTATTATTATTATTATTATTATTATTATTATTATTATTATTATTATTATTAGCTTAA